AAGTAGGAGGAGAGAGAGAGAGAGAGAGGGAAAAAAACTGTAATGTTATATTTTTAGTTCATATATCACTAATTTGATTCAGAATAAATAGACTTTCCCTTAATATTTGAAGAAAAAGTTCAGAAAAGATTAAATTGATTTACCTGTAAGGTAAACAAAAAATTATCCATTCATTTTCACACGAACAATTCATGATAAGAGAAAACGAAGTGTACGAAATTGTTGAAATCGCAAGAAAAAGCGGTAAATTTGTTGCTAATTTGATATTACTTAGTATAACATTTATATATATGAAACATATTGTTTACATTTATATGCATGAACATATTGTGCAATGTAAAATGTTTTAAACATTATCATGAATTCATATTTTAATAATTAATTAATATTTATTTCATTTTCAGTTTAAATGTTATGTTCACATACAATTACTTATCTCTAAATAGATATTCATTAATAAATCATAACATTGATTTCAACTCTTCATTAAGTAATTATTTTTGTTTTTTTTTGTTTTCCACATAATAATCATTTTGATGTAATAAGTGCCATTTAGTATCCCATAATAGTGGTTGACAAATGACGAAAATATAAACCAATGGTAGAAATGGTAGAGTAAAAATATAAACAATGAAAATGTATGCGTAGTTTTTACATTCATTCTTCTTCTTTTGAATAAAATTGGAAAACATATGATGAAGTTATTTGATGCTAACAATCCTTTCAACAGATTTTTACGACTAAGCATTCTTGTTATTTCAAAGCTTAAGAGGCATTTTATTTTTGAGAAATAATTTATCACAAGCTAACAACACAATGCTCCTGATATTGACTTTTTTTTTTCTGCCAATAATTAGGTCCAAAGATGCGTACATATCTGTTATACATTTACATTCAAAGATGCGCATATATGTATATATCATTTAATAGTAATATAAAATATCAAATAAAAATTTTAAATAACTTTTTTTCTTTAGAGCTAGAAGTTTTTTACTTCTAAATTTATAAATCAATGTTTATAATGTCGGAATTCCTTTTTGTTATTGTTTGATTGAAAAGAAATTTGAATTTTTTTTTCGGTTTTATTTTACAATATGTGAATTTTAATTTGAAATGTATGATATCCTTCTAATATAAACATTGCTAGTTTCATTTCTATTGCACTATTTGTTGCTAATTTAAGTTTTAGTTATATTTGTCTATAATGACGTGATTCCATCTTCCAGACACATCTATATATGTTAACCTGAAATAAACCTGAGACATTTTAAAAGTAATTTATAGTCTTTAGAAGATGTTGAATTATTACTCCTGTTTTATCCAATAGCAGCTTGGCTGCAATGCCTATCCTTAGCCTCTGTTCTTGGCTTATTTTATGCTTCTATCAGCATATCATTTTTTTTTTTTCAGATGCATTTATAATGTGCAATTGGCCATACCACAATGATAATGGATTTTTCCTCTTCTTTTTTCTTTTTTTTTTTTTTGCTTTTTATTTTTTATTAATGTAACAATCACTCACGGATATCTTATTTGCTAATAAAAACTAAATTTGAATTATATAACTTGAAAAGAGTAGCCAAATGGAATTTCCCGCTTATCGTCAATTACCCTCTTCATAGTCATTATATTTTACACTTCATCTTTTAGCATTAAAAAAAAAAGTATAAAATTGGATCATACCTGGTTTTCTGTAAGTAATAAAATGGACGAATAAAACTAAACCTTTCTTATTTCACACTTCGTTTTTCTCTTCTCTAAACTCATTTTTAGTGAGTTAAAATGGAAACTATTAACTTTATTACATCCGGATCCGAAACCACATGCATATCCGTAAGACAGCCAGTTTTCTGGAAAAAAAAAATAATAAAAACAACAATTTTCATTTTATCAATCTTCCGTACGATAAAAAAGGAAAATGATAAAAAAAAATGGATGAAAATTCGCAAAAATTTTATTTTTTTTTTAAAACTTTCAGTTTTTTTACTAAGATAGAATCAATAAAAAGATGGCGTTAAATGGATGAAAGAAAAATTGAAATTAAAAAATTGGATAATTTTGTTATTAATATTCATTTAAATGAATAAGGAATTGATGAATTTTGATGAATTTATCAAGCATGCCTTGCTAGGTTTTTTTTTTTTTTTCAAAAATTTCTTCCAATAAATCATCTGCTAATCGATTCATTAATTCATTCAACTATATGATCCAAATTTTCTAATTTATCGATGAATTAAACATCCATTGTTTGTTCTTGCATGAATTTCAATATTAATTAACATTCATATGTTTATTTTCGTTTCACAATTTCATAGATAATATTTATTTCAACGTATTCATCATCTCTTTTATTACTTAACAACAGCATAATTGCCAATATAATATGATTATATATCGATTTTTACTTATTTTAATAGTTGTTCCATTTTGAAAATTTCCTTTTTTTTTATTTCCAGGTGAAAAAAATTTTTAAACTATTAATTATTGCTATTATTGTTGTTGTTGTTGTCGTTGCTGTTGTTGTTTGTTGTTGTTGTTGTTGTTGTTGTTGCTGTTGTTGCTGTTGTTGTTGTTATTGTTGTTGTTGTTGTTGTTGTTGTTGTTGTTGTTGTTGTATTCATTGGATGTTGTGAATGAAATGAACTTCACATTACATCTAATTATAATCTAATTCATTACATACATCATTACATCTAATTATAATCTAATTACATCTAATTACAATCTAATTAATTACATACATGAAAATCTGCGACTAAACTTTTTTTTTACTAAACTATTCGACCTAAAAAGCAGAAAGAAAAAGCAAGAAGAAGAATTGAAAAGAGAATAATTTGTATTTGAATAAAAATGAACTGAATAAGGAATATGAGATTTTTCAGGAAAGAAAAAAAAATCCCATCCCTTTCTCTTTTTATTCAACTGATTATTACTGCATGATTACATTTGAACTTTCATTTCAACTTCCATTAATATTCTGTTCTATTCATTCATCCAAAATTATTATAATAATTGAGATTTTCAAAAAAAAAAAAAATTGGATTGGAAAAAATAGTATTTTGAATGGTATATATATTTTTTTTAATTTTCTTAGCTTATTAATAATCTATCATTACTGATAATTTACCATTCTTAGTCCATTCACTGTTTTTTTGCAAATTTATTGATATTCAAAATTAAATTTCGATAAAAAAACAACGACGGAAAAGAAATGTAAAATTTAAATTTAAGGAATGATAGAGGAAGAGAATTGTTTTAGAAGTTGTAAATAACTGGCGAAAGCATACTGATTTACAATTTCATTCTTTCTCGTTAAAATTTTCTTGATAAGATATCATTCCATTTGTAACAATTTATTACATACATATTGTATGATCATTATCATATGATAACTTTACTGATATTTAATGAAATGTTTATTCTTAAATATATTTACATCAATTATTCAATCACCTTGTTTTCCTTTCTTTTTCATGTATTAAAGTAGTAATTAAATAACTATTTCTTTTCTGCATTTTCTTGTCAAAAAAGAAAAAGAAAGAAAGAAAGGAAGCCAGTATTGAGAATGTAATTTGATTTTATAAATTGAATTTTCACTTTCTTTTTTTTTCCTTTTCTTGTATAAAATGTTTCAAAAACTATGTTTGTGCAAAAATTTGCAATCGTTTTTTTCTTATTCTTTCTTCTTTTTTTTTTTTAAAAATATTAAAAGATTATTGTCCAATGATGCATCACATTCCAAATTTTTCTAAAACATCTAGCTGATTAAATATTTCAAATAAGCCATAAGCTTATCGATTTTGCATTATTTATACGTCATCATTGTAGCCAAGAATGTCTCCTTTATAATCTTTAACATAATGATTGAATATCTCTACATTCCATCTACGGACTCTTCCATCATATGAATACTCCAGTTTAGATTAAGCGTATTTATTTATAAGTCTATCTGGATTAATTGTACTATCTAAAAGTTTATCTTGATTAAGCGTATTATCTGAAAGTTTATCTTAATTAAGCATATCATCCGTAGTCTCATTGAGACTAAGCTACTACGAGCATTTACTGAATATTGGATTAAATATTTCTGAAAATTTGAAATATTTAAATGTCCAGATAGACGAATTTATTTATTTGATTTAATATTTATTTAATATTTCGAATTTATTTAATATATTTAGATGTACGAATTTATTTTATTTTTTTTTTAAATTTACCAATCCAATTTTAGTTTCAATTCTTTTTTCCCATTTTTTAAACCAAATTATCCATTATCTTTTTCATTTCTTCTTTCTATTTGCATGCATAATTAATCGCTGTAATATTTCATATTATCCATTCTTCGATCTTTTAAATTTGCAATGCTATCCGTCATTTAATGCGCTAAATTTATGCTTGTACTTTCGATAATTTACATGAAATAAATGATTTGAATTTTGAATATAATTAAATTTTTGCATAGGATAAGTAACCTGAAAAAGAAAAAGAACGCTTAATGGATGTGAACAACAAGCATTCAATGCGCAAAGATTTTTGTTGAAAAAAGAAAGGGAAAAAAACGCATAAAAAAGAGAGCAATTTGGATAGAAAGAAAAAAATTTTGAAATGGCATGGAAATTTCGTGGAAATACCAATTTTGACTTGAACGCTGGCCGTAATGCATTCCGGTCTGACACAGGTTTCGATGATTGGGAATGTACCGGTAAGTTGAAAAAGTTGAAATTTATTATTTATTGATATTCTTTCGATCAAAAATCATAATTTGGGATATATTTCATGCTAAATTAAATTATCCAATAATAATTTCCAGCTAATTAACATAATATTAATAATTGAAATTTGCTTTTTGTTTTTTCCTTTTTCCTTTTTGGAAATTTTCAACTTTTCAAGCATAATATTCAAAATATAAGTAAATCACCAATAGCCTTTTATGATATTTCTGGTAATAAGTTGCATATATCAGTTCGTATAATAATATTAATGTTTAAAAAAATTATTCAAGCAAGCTTAGAGGAAACCCAAAATAGCCTTAAACAGGTAGAATAAATACTCACAGGTAAAATGAAATCTTAAAAATTTCAAGAAAAAGCTTGTTAAGGATAATTTTTTCAACAGTTTAACTCTACCAAATAATATTTGTTTGCTTAGTTTACTTGTTTAGATTTAATTTTTTTTTTTGTTTTAAGACCTAAGCTAAAAGAAAATGCTCGCCTGAGTAATATTTTTAAGGCATTTTCACCAGTACTCTATGATTAAAGCACATCATACACATCTTGTAGTAGATGAAAATAAGATTGGTGAATAAACATGCCCAACTATAGCCTAAAATATAGCTTCATTGCCAAGCCTTTTAGTAGATGTCTAAGAAATCGATTTTCAAAACTAACTAAGCTGTAAATGGACGAGTTGGCATATAAGATGTGGATTTATAATTCAACAATCTCTACTTCCGTTTTTTTGTCTCCCTTTTCTTTTTTTTTTTATTTTTATCGTAAGGCATAAATAAATGAATGAAAAGTTAGCAGCCAAGCGAAAAGAATTGTTCAAATGAATGACATTGACGAATAACGAAGATCAAGGAAGTAGATATGACACTTGTGAAATAGTTCAAAGTTCTGATGATTTCTAACTTTCCAATAAATTCCAAAATTTCAATTTTTCACTGCGAGTTTTTCCTTTTTTTTTTTATTGAGTTATTACTCATTAATTAACGACCACGCTAGCATCATGTTATGAATGTAAGTAGAAAGGAAGTGTTCGGACATATTCTTGGAACTGTCATATGTCAGCAAATTAATGACAGATATTTTGATTGACCAATAATTCGAAAGTATCATGAAACTTTTTCCGCATCTGACATAAAATCTCGCCATAAAAAGTTGATATATAAAATAGAATGATACCAAATGTATTCAGTAATCATCATACATTGGTAAAAATTCATTTTTTTTTTTTCGAAATTTTTCTAGACAGTGAAACAATTATGCGCCGTAACTCAGCAATTCGGTCATTCACTGAATCGGTCGATTCAGACTTTCCACCCGCTCCGGAATTACCACCATCGTTAAATATCGATTTGCATTATCCAGAAGAAGCAATGAAAAGAAGTGAAACTTCTGAAACAATTATTGAGGTTTACTTTCATTAAATTAATTATATTAGTATAGGTTGAAGAATAGGTAGATTTGAATTAAAAAATAGGTAAAAGATGTACAATGGATCAACAATGATGATAATAATAAAATAATGTTATAGAGGAAACCCAAACAATCATTGCAAGAGGTGGTCAGTGGTACTCAAAAATATCCTATGATGGTACCTGGTCCAGGTCATGTTGATGAGGAACAAGAACTTCATGCTAGCCTATTGCATCAGGATGATGAATGTTCCGAAAGTGATGTGGAAATTAGTAGCTTCGAAGGAAAGCAATCCTTCGAAGAGAAGCAATCTTTAAATGAAACCACTAAAAAAGTTTGAGATATTTCAATTTTCCAAAATAGGAGATTAGAAGGTCAATAGGTCAATGAAGATCTTTAAAGTCAATCAAAACTGTTAGCAATGATTACAATAGTGGTATCTTTTTACATTCACAACCACCATCAATTTTAAATTAAAGATGGTAAATTTAACAATATCATCCAGGCTAATTTGTAAACTTGTAGTGGTCATTTATTTTATACCATAGTATGTAATGGTCATTTTATATTATACAATGCTTTAAAGCTGAAATCAATCTTTAACAGAAATTTGATAGTTAATTTAAATGAAAGTTCTAATTGATGATATCTAATCAATAATTAGCCACTTCTAAGATCGCAATATGCTTTAATGATTATACTATGATCTTCCATCCACAGAAATCACTTCTACTTTTTTTTTTGCAGCAACAACATAAAGAACGTGATCGTGATCATGAAGCATTACGTTATGAATATTCGATATCAACACTGGAACGACCCCGACCAACTACACCAACATCATGGTGTGCTATTGAGAACTATGTAGAAGGTTCATTAGAAGCTGACGATGAATCATCATCAATTGTAGGAAAAAAGGAAAAGATTCATGTCAGTATACCGAATCATAATACAACACAAAGTATGTCATAAAATTATCGATTAACAAATTTAAAAAAATTTACAATAAAAGATTGGTTAGAATTACTACTGTAAAAGTTGACATTAATTAGGACGAGTAACACATTTGATTAACTAATTCATTGATTACTAAATGGATATATTTTTGAAAGGATCAAAAGAAATATTCATTACTACTTAATAAATTCATTTGATACTTAATTATAAAACTTAATTGCAACTTAATTGCAATTATGAAACTTAATTGCAAATTAAGTTTAATTCTGAATTAATAAACCATTGTAATGTTAAGTGATGACAATGAAAGTACGTTAAGAAGGATTATATCCGATTCTTATACTGATAACAGAAATTAGAATTATAATCGATATATAATTCTATTATCTTTCATGTTTGTAGAATAAATAAATATTTCTTTAAAAAATTCTTTTTTTTGAATGAAGCATATATGGAATTATTTTATTAATATTAAAATAATTTCAGCACCAAGACGTCGTCGAATATCCATGTCATGGGTTGATTTTTATGAAACGATGTCAACGCAAGTACCATCTCAAGTATGTCTTTCGTTGTAATTTTGTAAAATTTACAACAATTATAATTTGGCAAGAAATTAATTTTTTAGAAAATTTCTTTTTAATTTTATTTTAACTCGAAATGATATTTTGATAGGCTCGTAGATCGATGTCTGGTCATACTACACCATTACATGATTATGATGGTGATATATTGGAGGAAGATCCAAGATATCGAAATGTAGCACCACCAAAACCAGTTATTCATCGTCGTTCATCAACCGATTGGGAAAATTTTATGGATAATGGTAATGATTTTGATTTAGTTATATCCTGAAAAGAAGTAAAAGTTATCCTTTTTGATTGAATAAATTTCATGAATTAATGCTACAAATTTCATATTCCCTTTTATAGATCATTCCGGAATTATCCTGGTGCTTTTTTTTTTACTACTTTACTGTTCATCTGTGTTAATGATGCTCATATCTTTTTATTAAACTGAAATTACTTAACTCTAGTGATCTGCTTTTTTTTTTCCCGCATTTTAACTAACCAATGGTTATGTTAACTTATACATTTTAACTTTGAAAACGATTTTCTCAGTTATTTTTATTACGATCTTTGAACAATGAAAAATATACAAAATGGCAGAGATCAATCGTTTATTTACTTGCTTGCCTGTTTGTTTGTTCATTTATTTGTTTATTTGTTTATTTGCTTGTTTATTCGTTGTGTATTTGTTTATTTATTGCTTATTTATTTATTTGTTTATTTATTTGCTTATTTGTTTGTTTGGTGATTTTTCCAAATGATCGGTTATAGAATGGCTTATTTAGTTATTTATTTTTGTAAATTGTAATATTTTAATTAATTTGAATGGAAATATATCACATAGAAGGGAAGCAATGAATTATTAACTTTCTCATTAAATTTAAAAGATTATTCCAGAATTTTAGTTGCACTTCAAATTTTAATTCTCATTCTTTTTTTAGCTCAAACTTTCCAATAATCGTCTGTCTTGGTAATGCAATTTCTTTTTTTTTTTTTTCTAGAAAGCAAATGTACTTTTCTAAATCATTTGCTAAAAAAGAGAAAGTTAATCAATGCAAAAAAGAAAAAGACAAATCTATCTTCCGCTTTGTCTTTCCTATCATGCTATTAACCATTTCCCGCTATTCCGATGTTCTGATGGAAGCCTAGAATGGTAATGGAACGAGATAAATCAATAAAAGGAGAATGAAAAACAATGGGAAGTGCTATGAATGAATCGACTAGTGCTGCTTGATAGATTAGATAACTTTTTAAATGAAAGCTAAAATGTCGTGTGTGTGTGTGTGTTGTGTGTGTATGTGTATGTGTACGTGTACGTGTATGTGTGTGTGTATATGTGTGTATGTGTACTTATGTATATATATATGTATATATATGCGTGTGTGTCTGTGTATGTATGTATGTGTGTATGTGCATGTTTGTGCGTGTTCGTGCGTGTATGCGTGCGTGCATGTATGTCTGTGTTCTTTGATCACTTGATAGTTTAGATGTACTTCAGATTTTATAAAAAAGCTTTTAAGTCAATCGAATAGGCTTCCCAGTAGGTATACGTCTATTCCACTATGGCTTTTTAGTCTCATATTGGGCAAGCTTACTTATGCATTGATTTTATGCAATTTTACATAAAATATCTAAAAATGAGTAAAGCAGGAAAACATGCAATGCATGCGGTGCATGCATTGTATGCTTATGATGCGCATTATTGTCTTTTTAATTCTCTCATCCTTCATCATATATCCCAAAATATTTATATTCATAATTAATTTATATTTAATTGTAATTAATTTATTTCATCCTTCTATTATTGTTCTTTTTTTTTATTTAAACCTTTCCAATCTTGAAAATCATTTGGAAGATTTACATACGTTTAAATATTATGATAAGATGATTTTTCCATAAAAACACTTAAAAGAGAAGGAAATTTCCAAAAATTTCACTTCATTTCCAAGAAATTTCCAAGAATTTCACTTCATTACCAAGAATTTCACTTCAGAATTTCACTTCAAGAAATTTCCAAGAATTTCACTTCATCATTTAAGCAAAAAAAAAAAGAAACAAAATGAATATTGAGAAGATGAATGAATCTTTCATAAATGAAGATAAAAGGATATAAAACATTTGCGCTATCGATTATTAATCAACACCAGAATATTAAATAGAAAAAATTTGCAAAAAATTTTAAAAAAATAAATAATCATTGAAAATGCAAAAATTTCCTTAATCAAAATACGCCCAACAATATATTTTACTATTGCATTCTACCAATTACAAATATTCTCGTCAAAGATTTTTATTTCTTCAATTTTTAGAAATGCTCTAAAATGGATTGTCAGTTATCTGTCTAGTCTATTTTAATTTAATGACTAAAATTCTTTGCATAATTTTCTAGCAATTTCTTTCTCCTCTAGTACTATTTTGAATATTCTTTCATCTTGTCATATAATCGATTTCTTGAAAATCATCTAAATTACATCCTCTTCTTATCCACTTCTATTTAATTGTTCTAGCACAGAATTATTTTTTTTTCTTATTTGCTATCCCATTTACAATTTCATAGAAATGAGCCTAACCAGATTATCATAACTAACTGAATTTGGATAGTTCATTTCAGTAATTTATTCCAAGTAATTAGTTTCATCAACTTTACTCAAATAATTCATATCACAAATTGATTACCTATTGAAACGCATTTTTATGCTTTTGATCGTTAATTTAATCATTCTGTTTTCAAATCATTTCTTACACGTTGTTGAACTGAAAGTGTTAAATTTAAAACTTTTAAAATTATAACTTCTTTTAAAAATTCAATTATTCCGAAAATTATTTTATGGCATATAGAAATTGTTACTTTTATTGCAGCAGAACCCAAAACATTCTGCCAAAAAGTTGCCGAAAAGTTTGCCGAAAACGACGATATGAGCAAATCGAATATTACAGTTAGTCATTTTCGTCTTTTCCTGAGATAAACTGAAATTGAAAACCATACAGCATTTTATTTAATTTAAAATTTAATTTGTTTGATTAAGTTGTCTTAAGAAATTGAGCCTCCTTCTAGCTTTTTGCATCACAATTTAATTTGTCAATAAATTGGCACTTGTTAATTGGCTTAATTGACCTGCCATCTCTTATTTTTTGTATTTAAATAAAGAAGAAAATAGGAATAAGTTTTTTGCAAAAAAAATTCCAAACTAAATCGCCTATTAATGATTTTTCATTTTTCCATTTATCGAAAAATTTTGAAATAATTGTTTAAACATGTATGGAGGTAATTATATATATATATATATATATAATTAAAGAATACATTATAGACAGTTTATTCCTTTTCTCAAAAAATATCAATGAAATGGCTTTCTTTTCTTTTTTCTTTTTT